TGGGCTGGGCGTGCCGCGTGGACCCAGCTGGGCTGGGCGTGCCGCGTGGACACAGCTGGGCTGGGCGTGGACACAGCTGGGCTGGGCGTGCCGCGTGGACGCGCTGGCGCAGCTGAGACCCCAAGGCAGCGTGGGCTGGCTCTGAAACATGGGGACCAGGTCTGCCATGCAGGGCGGGCAGGAGAGACCTCTGCCCCTTGCTCACCTTGGCGCTGCTTCCTTCCAGGGTCTCCCCGGCCCCCCAGGCCCTCCGGGCCTGCTCCCCACTGCTCCCCCCGAGCCCTACACCCCCCAAGGGGGTTGCTCTGCTTCACCCCGACCCTGGCCTGCTCCCCACTGCTCCCCCCGAGCCCTACACCCCCCAAGGGGGTTGCTCTGCTTCACCCCGACCCTGGCCTGCTCCCCACTGCTCCCCCCGAGCCCTACACCCCCCAAGGGGGTCGCTCTGCTTCACCCCGACCCTGGCCTGCTCCCCACTGCTCCCCCCGAGCCCTACACCCCCCAAGGGGGTTGCTCTGCTTCACCCCGACCCTGGCCTGCTCCCCACTGCTCCCCCCGAGCCCTACACCCCCCAAGGGGGTCGCTCTGCTTCACCCCGACCCTGGCCTGCTCCCCACTGCTCCCCCCGAGCCCTACACCCCCCAAGGGGGTCGCTCTGCTTCACCCCGACCCTGGCCTGCTCCCCACTGCTCCCCCCGAGCCCTACACCCCCCAAGGGGGTCGCTCTGCTTCACCCCGACCCTGGCCTGCTCCCCACTGCTCCCCCCGAGCCCTACACCCCCCAAGGGGGTCGCTCTGCTTCACCCCGACCCTGGCCTGCTCCCCACTGCTCCCCCCGAGCCCTACACCCCCCAAGGGGGTCGCTCTGCTTCACCCCGACCCTGGCCTGCTCCCCACTGCTCCCCCCGAGCCCTACACCCCCCAAGGGGGTCGCTCTGCTTCACCCCGACCCTGGCCTGCTCCCCACTGCTCCCCCCGAGCCCTACACCCCCCAAGGGGGTCGCTCTGCTTCACCCCGACCCTGGCCTGCTCCCCACTGCTCCCCCCGAGCCCTACACCCCCCAAGGGGGTCGCTCTGCTTCACCCCGACCCTGGCCTGCTCCCCACTGCTCCCCCCGAGCCCTACACCCCCCAAGGGGGTCGCTCTGCTTCACCCCGACCCTGGCCTGCTCCCCACTGCTCCCCCCGAGCCCTACACCCCCCAAGGGGGTCGCTCTGCTTCACCCCGACCCTGGCCTGCTCCCCACTGCTCCCCCCGAGCCCTACACCCCCCAAGGGGGTCGCTCTGCTTCACCCCGACCCTGGCCTGCTCCCCACTGCTCCCCCCGAGCCCTACACCCCCCAAGGGGGTCGCTCTGCTTCACCCCGACCCTGGCCTGCTCCCCACTGCTCCCCCCGAGCCCTACACCCCCCAAGGGGGTCGCTCTGCTTCACCCCGACCCTGGCCTGCTCCCCACTGCTCCCCCCGAGCCCTACACCCCCCAAGGGGGTCGCTCTGCTTCACCCCGACCCTGGCCTGCTCCCCACTGCTCCCCCCGAGCCCTACACCCCCCAAGGGGGTCGCTCTGCTTCACCCCGACCCTGGCCTGCTCCCCACTGCTCCCCCCGAGCCCTACACCCCCCAAGGGGGTCGCTCTGCTTCACCCCGACCCTGGCCTGCTCCCCACTGCTCCCCCCGAGCCCTACACCCCCCAAGGGGGTCGCTCTGCTTCACCCCGACCCTGGCCTGCTCCCCACTGCTCCCCCCGAGCCCTACACCCCCCAAGGGGGTCGCTCTGCTTCACCCCGACCCTGGCCTGCTCCCCACTGCTCCCCCCGAGCCCTACACCCCCCAAGGGGGTCGCTCTGCTTCACCCCGACCCTGGCCTGCTCCCCACTGCTCCCCCCGAGCCCTACACCCCCCAAGGGGGTCGCTCTGCTTCACCCCGACCCTGGCCTGCTCCCCACTGCTCCCCCCGAGCCCTACACCCCCCAAGGGGGTCGCTCTGCTTCACCCCGACCCTGGCCTGCTCCCCACTGCGTCTTGCCTCTGTAGGGCGTCCCCGGTGAAGCTGGCACCCCAGGACTCGTGGGTCCCAGGGTAAGTACCCATCATGCTCCGGGGCGCTGAGCGGACAGCTCGGCAGCTGGGTTATTGTTGTTTGTTAGGCAGCACCAAGGCACCTGTCATGGGCCCGGAGTCCCGGCGCGAGGTGCTGTGTGGTATTTATTAGATATATTACGGTAATGCCAGAGAACCCCGGTCATGAATCGGGACACTGTTGTGCTAGGTGCTGTACATTATTATTGCTACTTCTTATGTGTATTACGGTATCGCTTGGGAACCCCAGTCGTGGGACAAGGCGCTATTAGTTACTAGGTGTATTACGGTAGTGCATAGGCGCACTGGTGACAGCTCTGCACTGCACTGGACGCTGCACGTCTGTTACTAGGTGTATTACAGTAGTGCCCAGATGCACTAGTGACGGCCCTGCACTGCGCTGGACACTGCACGTCTGTTACTAGGTGTATTACAGTAGTGCCCAGATGCACTAGTGACGGCCCTGCACTGCGCTGGACACTGCACGTCTGTTACTAGGTGTATTACAGTAGTGCCCAGATGCACTAGTGACGGCCCTGCACTGCGCTGGACACTGCACGTCTGTTACTAGGTGTATTACAGTAGTGCCCAGATGCACTAGTGACGGCCCTGCACTGCGCTGGACACTGCACGTCTGTTACTAGGTGTATTACAGTAGTGCCCAGATGCACTAGTGACGGCCCTGCACTGCGCTGGACACTGCACGTCTGTTACTAGGTGTATTACAGTAGTGCCCAGATGCACTAGTGACGGCCCTGCACTGCGCTGGACACTGCACGTCTGTTACTAGGTGTATTACAGTAGTGCCCAGATGCACTAGTGACGGCCCTGCACTGCGCTGGACACTGCACGTCTGTTACTAGGTGTATTACAGTAGTGCCCAGATGCACTAGTGACGGCCCTGCACTGCGCTGGACACTGCACGTCTGTTACTAGGTGTATTACAGTAGTGCCCAGATGCACTAGTGACGGCCCTGCACTGCGCTGGACACTGCACGTCTGTTACTAGGTGTATTACAGTAGTGCCCAGATGCACTAGTGACGGCCCTGCACTGCGCTGGACACTGCACGTCTGTTACTAGGTGTATTACAGTAGTGCCCAGATGCACTAGTGACGGCCCTGCACTGCGCTGGACACTGCACGTCTGTTACTAGGTGTATTACAGTAGTGCCCAGATGCACTAGTGACGGCCCTGCACTGCGCTGGACACTGCACGTCTGTTACTAGGTGTATTACAGTAGTGCCCAGATGCACTAGTGACGGCCCTGCACTGCGCTGGACACTGCACGTCTGTTACTAGGTGTATTACAGTAGTGCCCAGATGCACTAGTGACGGCCCTGCACTGCGCTGGACACTGCACGTCTGTTACTAGGTGTATTACAGTAGTGCCCAGATGCACTAGTGACGGCCCTGCACTGCGCTGGACACTGCACGTCTGTTACTAGGTGTATTACAGTAGTGCCCAGATGCACTAGTGACGGCCCTGCACTGCGCTGGACACTGCACGTCTGTTACTAGGTGTATTACAGTAGTGCCCAGATGCACTAGTGACGGCCCTGCACTGCGCTGGACACTGCACGTCTGTTACTAGGTGTATTACAGTAGTGCCCAGATGCACTAGTGACGGCCCTGCACTGCGCTGGACACTGCACGTCTGTTACTAGGTGTATTACAGTAGTGCCCAGATGCACTAGTGACGGCCCTGCACTGCGCTGGACACTGCACGTCTGTTACTAGGTGTATTACAGTAGTGCCCAGATGCACTAGTGACGGCCCTGCACTGCGCTGGACACTGCACGTCTGTTACTAGGTGTATTACAGTAGTGCCCAGATGCACTAGTGACGGCCCTGCACTGCGCTGGACACTGCACGTCTGTTACTAGGTGTATTACAGTAGTGCCCAGATGCACTAGTGACGGCCCTGCACTGCGCTGGACACTGCACGTCTGTTACTAGGTGTATTACAGTAGTGCCCAGATGCACTAGTGACGGCCCTGCACTGCGCTGGACACTGCACGTCTGTTACTAGGTGTATTACAGTAGTGCCCAGATGCACTAGTGACGGCCCTGCACTGCGCGGGGCACGATACCAGGATGCACCATGTGATCAAACCGCCCCGGCCAGGCCCCAGCTGTGACGTCTCCCTGATGGTGTCTCTTTCCCCGCCAGGGCGAACGTGGCTTCCCAGGTGAACGTGGCTCTGCGGGGTCTCAAGGTCTGCAGGGCCCTCGAGGGCTCCCCGGGACGCCTGGTACCGACGGACCCAAGGTAGGTCCCCGTGTGTCACCCGCGGCTGGGTCACCGTGAAGCTTTCGGCACCTGCTGCTGCCTCCTGCTGGGAGAGCTGGTCCTTGGCTCCGGCTTCCCACTGTCCCCGGCTGGCATCCTCTGTGTGTCAGACCCTGAGAGGGGCCAGGAAAAGTGACTCAGCAGCTGCAGGCCTTGTGGGCATCGTGTGTGAAAAGGCCCCAAAGGGACGGACCCTGAGGCAGCCGACCTGCCCTTTGTGGGAACGTGCCCCCGCGGTTTGCCTGGGACTCACCCGGCCTCGCTCACTTGCTGGGCCAGCCTCCGCCCCCAGGCGGCTCTCCCCCC